CACTTGTGGAATTTTCTAAATTTCTAGCCATTATAATTTTCTTATACATTTTATCAAAGAACCTTTGCAAATAAAAAATTCTAATAATAAGAACATATGAAAAATATTCAAATGGACTAGAAAATAGAGAAAACCCTTTTTATGTGAGAGTCTTCTACGAGTATGGATCTCAACTCTCAATGAAAGCACTAATTTGTAGATGCAAATTTCTTCCTCCTTGATTTTGACAAAATTGCACCAACAAAACAATTAATGGCCAAGGCCTCACGCGCCCACGATGAATGGGGGGGGCTTTGGCCGAAGAACCTCTGATGCCAAAGTTAGAATTTAGAGAGAAAAGTGTTTGGAGAGTATTGGGAATTTTGCAAGTGTCTTGGAATGATCTTTTGTTGAAAATGGGAGCCTATTTATAAGGATAGGGTGTAACTTATGGTTTAATGTGTGATTTAATGGATTAATTGGGCAATTATCCATTAATTGGTTAATCAACACATTTTTGGAATAAATATTTTGGGAGTTATGTAATTTATATGGGATGTTTTGAAGGTTATGAAATAATTACCTTGTGGAAAATATAGGATGAGGATGGATGAAATAATTTTGAATTTGTTACCTATTTTGGGCACTTTTGATTTGGTTGAAAGATGATTGCCCACTACTCGGACGTAGGAATCCCGTTGTACCTTAAGGGTATTTTTGTCCTCTTTTGTCCAAAAATCCATGTTTCGCCTTGTAATTATTTTTGGCTCCACAACCGTAATACTAAATAACTTATCGTGAACAGAGAGGAAACAACACGTTAGGTTACAGTCTTTGCTAGTAAGTTCTATCGTTTTGGATGGATCACATTTTGAGCTAAAGTAGAGCTAAAGCCCATAAATTATACTTCATTGTTTTGATTTTCATAATTGATACTAGAGGAAGCACACACACTATGTTACGTGGGAGATGTTAAAAAAAAAAGCAAAATTTAGTTTGGGCAAAATTATATTATTGCCCATGAGTTTATTTCGTGATAGAATTTTTTTTGTTAATAGGTAGTTTAAATCAAGGTTCTAAGAGACGCTAGACGCTAGTCGGGGGGCGGATTGAGATCTAGCACCTAGGTGGCTAAGTGGGGCTTAGGTGGGGGCCTTGGCGGACTAGGCAAATTTAAGTAAATTTATTATGTTGTGTAAATAAGTGCCTATTTATATTTAATAACACACAATTGTATACAAATTACAAAATAAAATGACCTATAGATTATTAAATATTGAAAGCATATTGAAAACATGGGGAACAAGCATATAATGAGTGTTCATCCAAGTACTCAATTTACATTTTATTGAAAAAAAAATAAAATGCAAAATGAAAGAAATCGATTTTCGGTTTAAGTAAGAATCGCAACCCAAACGAGTGCCTAAGTGTGTTCAGGAGGGCTAGGCAGAAGCCTAAGTAAGTCTAGACGCACTTTTTTAATTTTCAAACGCCTAGGAACTAATTGGGGCAGTGGTCAGCCGCTTAGTGCCTAATGGGGCCTAGGCGGCTATAGACGGAGATTTTTAGAATAATGATTTGAATTAATGATTATCAAATTATCATTCTTACTTTTAAAATTGTTTTTGTGAGCATATGAAAATTATAAAAATGCCCTATTTGAACGGTCAAAACTTAAATTGGGAGTGCAAACATCACTACCGACAATTTATAAGCCTATGATATATTTGCTTACTTGAATTGGAAACGTTATGAATGAAAATGATGTTTGGTTGTTTGCCTATAAAAAATTAATCTTAGGAGTCTTTAAATATTTAAAATCCTTTTAGGATAATATAGTAAGAATTTTGAGACTTAATAATCAGGTTCCAAGTATTGTCATTCTTTTTGTTTTGTTTAGTCAAAGGTAAATTTCATTAAAATGTCATGTTACAATGAAAATACAAAACTTAAAAATTCACCCCAAAGCACCACCAAATCACCCAAAAGCACCACCGAAAAAGAGCCCAACCGAAAGTTTAAGCCCAAAATAGACAACACATAAAGCAAAAACGCCAGTAACCCCTACCATCGCTGACCACAAACTATCACCATATGTAGCCACCAGAGGTCCAATCAAACAAAGGCTCTACATTGTAAAAGAAGAAAGTTCCACCCTCCACCACCAAGCCCCACAAAGCCCAAATCCGCAACAAGCAAGGAAAATAAGCCGGTGGAAAATACTTCCCACAGTCAACGGTGCAAACAACACACAAATGGAAGGTGATGGTGTGACTACCCAAGCACCAGGCAAGAGCTAGAGCTCTACAGAACTTCCGACAAGGCCATGAAACACGATGAAAAGAATTGATTGCAGATTAAAAAATTATAAGATAGAGGGAGGTTGGAACTGGAGATAGGTAGAAAACGGATTGAGTCAAGGCATAGATGGAAGAAAACTGGAGGGAGAAAGGGAAAAAAGGTTGGAATTTGGCCCTTCCAATTGAGGCCTAAGACTCACTCCAACCCTGCCTTATAACCTAAAATTTCCTCCCCCCCCCCCCCCCACCAAAAAAACCCAACCCATGACCTAAAACTAACCTAAAACCTAAAACTTATCATGGGGCAAAATACCGGCCCAACTTTAGGCCACAAAGCAATGTGGACCCTAGCAAGTGAGACTAAAACCAGGGCTATGAAGCCCACTACCCAAAAGCCATTCGCCTACACGCTGCATGCGCCAGGCTTGATTTGCAGCCGAACCAACCCACGTGGGGTTGTTCCCCCTTGTGTCAGACATTTATGTAGCCCAACAGCTACTTTTCTTCATCCAACAGCTGGATTTAAATGGGCCATTGGTTAATCCAACGGTCCATGTTCAAATTTTTATTTTATTTTTTGGTTTTATATTTATATATTTATTGAATCCAACGGCTTAGATCGAATATAATCAAATCTAAAGGAAAAAAAAAGATCTAACGGTCCAAATTTAAATCCAACTGCTAAAATAATTAAAAAAATATTATTTAAATCAAAATTCAACCAAAAACTCTATAAATACCTATGTATTTGTTCAAACATACACACAAAACTCACTTTTCTCCTACAATTCTTCCAATTTTTCTTTCCACCATTTCTTCTCATTTCCAAATTTTTCAAGATAGCAAAAGAGAATGTTAGAGGTCGTAATTGGACCTTTGATGAAGATATTGCTTTATGTTTGGCATGGATTTCTGTTAGCGAAGATGGTGTCGTTGGCAAGAATCAAAATAAAAAGGTTTTGTAGGGTAAAATCATTGATAAGTTCTATGAAAACTCCAACGCCGGTCAAATGGAAGCTAGTGGTGTTTATGATCGGTGGAAGATTATCAACAAAATGTGCACTTTGTGGAAGGGAAGCTTGGAGAGAGCCACAGTTGACATGCCTAGTGGAAGGAGCTTCTCAAAAATTGTGAGTTTCTTTGTTGATATTTTAGTTGTCATGTACATAATAGTATTTTGCAACTAATTGTTTTTATGTATTTGATGCATAGGGTGACAAAGCAATGGCAATTTACAAGACAAGAATTACACCAAAAAATTAAGCTTTTAAGTTGCATCATGCTTGGAACGTCCTCAAGGATTGTCCGAGGTAGGGAACCGATGCGGACCAACAATGGGGAAGATTATTTCATAGTGAAGCATCGCCCCCAAATGATGTCAATGAAGGTGCGAATGAAGGTGTCAATAAAGATGTCGAAGAAATGATCCTAACTTCTTCTTTTGCAAGGCCGCCGAGAAGAGATAAGCAAAAGGAAACAAAGAGAAAAAGGAAGCAAAGAGAAAAAGGAAGCCCCAAGATCCGATGAGTGGACCCATTGCTACTAGAATTACAAAATTGAGCGAGCGCTCACCAAGAAGAAGCGGCCCGAATGCGTTTGCAAATGAAGGAAGAAAGGGATAGGGAGCAAGAGAGGTTCGAAATAAATTTGATGATGGAAGACCTCAACAAATACACTCCAGAGAGGAAGAAGTACTTACGTGGTAAGCAAATGGATGCCAGAATGAGTATATTTCAAGAAGATAATTCATCTCAAAGCTATACCCCAAGTCCACCAAGTCCATCAGCAAATCAAGATGGTGGATATTATTATTAAGTTTATGTAGTTTATGAATTTTCGATTGTATTAAGTTTATGTGGTTTATTAATTGTCGTTTGTATTAAGTTTATGTACTTTATTAATTGTCATGTGTATTAATTATTGTTTCTATTAATCTAGATGCCTTCAATAATTATTGTGCTTATTATTCCACACTTTGATGTAGAATAGATGCCTTCAATAATTCAACCTCCATTCAATAATGTATCCAATGTACTACAAAATACTTTGCAAAGAAGACACTTAAATTTATTACTAGAAAATACCAACATAGTACACTTAAAATTATTACATGAATGCTCAACCAACATCATCAACGTTCACCTTCTCGGCGCCATACATGCTCAACATTGAGGAGCTTGAATTCTATTTAAACGTCTCATATACTTACTCAATGTGACCCTATCATGTTGGGTCTCATATGTGGTTTCAGCGAGATATTCAACATCTCTTGCAATAGCTTTCGCATGTGTTGGTTGGTCATCATCCACATCTTTGTCTGAATCTTCTTCAATTTCGATGTACTCATCTTCCACAATCATGTTGTGCAAAATTATGCAAGTCATCATGATTGAATGGAGGTCTTTGGTATGCCAAAATCGTGCAAGCCCTCTAACAATGGCCCATCGAGCTTGTAGGATCCCGAACGCTCTTTCCACATCCTTCTTGTATGCCTCTGCAAAAATAATTTCTTCTTTGCACTATCAGGATGAGAAAAACTTTTGACAAAGGTAGACCAACTAGGATAAATACTATCAGTTAGGTAGTAACCTAGCTCATACCTATTACCATTTACCTTGTACCGAAATTCTGGTGCCCATCGATTGACAACATCATCGAACAGAGGTGAAGACCAAAGAACGTTGATATTGTTGTTTGATCCAAGAGCTCGAAAAATGCATGTCAAATCCATGTGTCGTAAGATGCCATAGCCTCGAGCACGATGGTTGGCTTGTTATGATGGCCCTTGAATTGGCCAGCCCAAGCAATAGGACAATTCTTCCACTCCCAATGCATACAATCGAGACTTCCTATCATGACAGGGAAGCCTCTTTTGTCTGCCTTGCGTAGAAGCTTCTTCAAGTCTTCACGATTTGGCTTACAAAGGTATGTGGCTCCATATATAGCTTGAATTACCTGACAAAAGTGCTTCAGGTTCTCAATAGCAGTACTCTCCGCAAGTCGGCAATACTCGTCAGTTGAGTTTGCAGAGCACCCATTAGTTAGCATCCAAAATGCAGAAGTAAGCTTCTTATGAGGTGATAGATTTTGTCGGCTGACAACATCTATCTTTCTTGCAAAGTAGTGGTCATGATTGACAATTGCATTCAATATGCTTTCAAAAAGCTCTCTCATCATCCGAAAACCACCTCCGAAAATCATGAGCAGGAAATCTCGGACGCTCGATGAAATAATTTTTCATCATTCAGTCATGACACTCTTCTCTATCATCTTGCACAAATGAACGCCCCGTGACGCTCATATTGCATAAGCGAGTTTACAAGTTTAGCTTCGGCATTGATCATTTCAGCATCCTCAATGTCAAGCCTTGCTTGGTATTATGTAATCTGCATTGCCCTGCTACACCTTCTTCTATCACCCATTGATGAGATATTGAGAATTTTTAGGAAACAAAAACACTTTGAAAGTTGAAAGATTGGTGAATATAGAGGATGATTGAAGGTTGAAAGATTGTGTGATCAACTGATATTGGACCTATGTTTATATAGAGAATGAAAGTTGAATGGTTTGTGAAAGTTGAAAGTTTGGTGAGTTTCATGTGTCAATTTAGTGATTTTTCAATATTTATCAGAATTTAAATATTTTTAGATTAAAATGTTCATAAAATTAAATTACGATAGTCTACATAATTTTTTTTTTAAAGTTAATTTAAGAAAAAAATTAGGCTAAGCTCATTTTTTAATAATCCCGGGCTAAAATTTTAGGCCATAAGGGTTGGAGCAGAAAAGCTACTTCTAGGCTAAAACCTAAATTTTATGGGCTAAATATTTTTATGTTTTAGGCCAGGGTTGGAGATGGTCTAAGAACAGTTGGATTATAAGCAATATGGGTTGGATTACAGAGAAAAATGGGTTAGAAAACAAGAAAAGAACCGGGCGTATAGAAGAGGGAAGATAGGCAAGAGAAAAAGAAAGTTTGCTGCCACCGACGACCTTGGCCACACCGAGGGCCGGTGGCTAAGGGTGCGTTTGGTACGTGGGACGGGACGGGACGGAACAGGACGAGGCGTTCCGTCCCGCGTTTGGTGCGCCAAAAATGGGTGGAACGGGCTGTTCCACGGGACAGATTTTGAGTGTTTTTGCGTTCCACCTCCCCCCTGGAACGGGTTTGTTCCACATTTGTGGAACGCAATGTTTTACCATTTTAAGACAAATATACCCCATGTCTTTTTCAAAAATTACACCTTCGTTCCGTCCCGTCCCGTCCCGTTCCGTCTGCGTACCAAACGCACCCTAAAGGAACGAAAAACTCACAAAATCGATGAGAACACCTCTTAAACGGTGAGAAAGTCTCTCACAATGAGAGAATAATTATTTGAAAATCCAGTACCTTCAATATTTTCAAACTCAGAAAAATTAATTTTTTAGGAAATATTCACAATTTTAGTACATGTGCTCTACATTTACAAAGAACGAGTGTAAACAATTTTAACCATAATTTCCCGTCAAATAAAACTGAACTCCTTGCATGAGACTTCGAATATCAATGTTTTCTGGTTTAATTGGATTATTGATCTCCGTGGTGATATGGTAGTCGGAAGATAATTCTTGTGGTAAAAAAAAAAATTAGGATTTAAATCCCTGTGGTGAAGTCTGTTAGGATTTAGACCAAAAATTGAAAATTTCATCAACTTCCCGTTAAGTGTTAGAGTATAAATGCTCACATGTGAGATTAAAAATATAAAGTTAGCCTCACATGTAGCCCTACGGGCTAACAATTAACGGAGAGATCTGTTTTAGCCTAGTATGTGTGGCTCATGTGCTAATAATTAACGGAAAGGTGACAAAATTTTCAATTTTGGGCTTAAATTCTAACAGACTTCACCACATATGCTTAAATTATAATTTTTTTTAACCACATGAGTCATCTTCCAACTACCCTACCACTATGGAGACTCATAATCCAATTAATTAGGCCATATTTTCTTAGCATTGGGTGCGAGAAAAATATTAATTTTTGATATTAAATACTTAGGTTCAGAGTTCAGACCATCATAATTTCATATTCTTACCTAATGATTAAGCTTATATTAATACAACGTTTGTTGTTATTATTATTTTTTTTTTAAACGACGTATACTCAAGTCTAGTGAAAAATGACCAAAGGTTTAATACTCGACGTGTACGTATACTCGAGTATGAACTTCAAGAAATGCATTTTTAGGGCTATCGACTCAGCTTTAATGTAGTATTTGGTCAAGGGCAAAAAGTGCATTGCAGCCTCATATCATATGTGAGGCAAAGCTGAATAGAGAAGACTTAGTGAATCATCAAATAATGCTCCAAGTCAATAAGACTCGTGTGCCCTAGGAATAGTAACAATTTCAGTAGCCAAAAACACAACACAATTTCAATGGCAAATTTCCCACCAAAATGAAATATATTCAGTTGCATTTTGTTTCGTGATAGGAAATTTTCATTTTCACCACACCCTCAAACTAGTTTCTTTGAAATAATCTTAAACTCCATTTCTTCTGAAAATTACACCTTTCAATTCATGGATGACTATTCTTCTTCTTTTTCCAACTCAGATGTTGATGATTTTATGCTGTTAATTATTCCGTTATTACTTCTAGCTGCTAGAGCCTAGAGGACCCGGAAACGACGCCGTCGTGCTCGCAGGACCATTATGCCCATCGGCAACACCGGGTCCCACTCCTCTCTAATCAGCGCCCCATTCAAACGCAATATATGATCAAAGGGTTGCTTTGGTACCAAGGGGAGAGCGACACGTCTAAGCAGTATGATGCGGACGCGTACCGTGGGAACATGACGAAGCTTATTGAGAATGTGCGCGAGGGTCTTGGTTTGCCTTCGCTTCCAATTATCCAGGTTCGTGAGCTGACTAGTTTTAAGTGAGTCTTTGCTTTGAGGGGCATTTTAGGTATTTCCTCACTTCTACATCGTGTAACGCTTTTTTAGTAATTATAAGCACATAAGTTACCAACAGTTGCATTTCAAACGCAATATATAGTTCGATTTTGTCGATAATTTTAACGAAATTAACACATTACAAACCCGCATGGTAATTTTGCTGAAAAGGTTGTTGAAATTAAGTTATTGTCCTTGAATTGTAACAAGTAGTAAATTACAACTTTGAACCTGCACATTACAACCTTAAATGGTAACTAATGATACGTTGTCGATAATTTTTTCATTTTAAACTCTCGATTGTGTTGATTAAAAACGATACTAATACTTTGGTTGCAAATAGCTGTTTTGTCCGGAGACAACAAGTATATGGAGAAAGTGAGGGAGGACCAATTGGGAATGGAAATCCCAAATGTTTGTGTGTGTTGATTGATGCTAAGGGATTGGAGCTCAAAGATGATCATCTGCACCTCACCTCCAAGTCCCAGGTTCAGCTGGGGCCCATGTTGGCTGATGCATACCTCCAGCGTTTTGGACCCTCAGAACCCGATTCTCATGCTGCCATTTGAAGTAAATACGCTAATATTACGATGTTACTTATTTTAAGGTGCGTTTGGACAGGGAACTTTGAACCTAATTATTGATACTATGACCGTTGGGATTGCGTTTGTCATTTGGTCGTCTGGTTTGGTGAGGCCTTAGAGTGAATTGAATGCAGCCTTCGGGATTTAAACCAATGGGCCTAATAGGTCTCGCACTAACCAATACATCTTTCTAGATGAAAAAATAGTAGGTGGATTATCTCCTGTTTTGTATGGTCACCGTTAAGCCATGTCAACATTTTATATTCCTATTACTTTTTGTTTTATTATTTTTAAAAAAAAAATCAATATAAAATGTTGACGTGGCTTAACCGTGACCACACCAACATAAGAGGATGAGAAGAGTATAGAAATGAGAGGGCAGACAATCCACCTTCGAAAAAATAAACCCTTATCACGTTACGATGTGTTGACTTTTTATCTCTCTTTTCCCGTGATTAAAATTGATGTAGGGTAATTTATTTTCACGTAATTGATTCCGTTTATTAAGTTAACTTGAAAATTATGGAGTAGTCAATTCTAAGTAATTTTATTGTCTGACTTTGAAGTTTTGATTCCTCTCATGAAGTCTACTTAGAAAATTAAATAAGTACTTTTTTTTTTGTCAAACGATAGATTTTGTTAAATTAGATGTAAGGATTCAACACTTTTTCATCACTGTGGTAAAAGATCGCTTGCGATAGAGTATTATAGTATATTATTTATGTTAAGTTGCTAATTAAGATCACATAATCGTATATGATTTACCTCTTAATTTATAATTAGACAACATAGGGTTAGATAACTTAGGTTAGACCATACTACAGCAGATTTTCGTGTGTTGCCATCTTATCTCTGATTTTCATGTAATGTAATAAAGGCTATTTACATATAATTTGTAAGAAAAGAAATAACGAATGGAAAATGAACAAAAGGTGCTAAGATATAGCTTTAGTGACGCTATTCGTGCAACAGTGTTGAGCTATTACCTTTACCTGTCCCATTGGTCGTTTAACTTACTTCGATCAGTAATGTACATCTATCTTGCAAAACTTCATCTATTTTTTTTTTTTAACAAATGATATTATCTATACTAAGGAAAATGGATGGGTTTGGCTTCAAAATAGGCTAGTAATAATGTGGTTCAAATTCGCTTTTAACGAGAATCAAACTTAAGACATTTCACTTACAAGTGAAATTGAATACCATTAGTCTGTAATATTAAATGGTTGCAAAAGTCACTCTTAGAATAACACGTTGATCTTTTTCGAAAGAAATTTTAGTAAATGTTCATGTAAACCACTTATCTAGTGAGCACTTTGTCCACGTGGGGAATGGGTGATAGAAAAGTGTCTCATTGAGAGCTCATGAGCTCACATCTACTTAAAAGTTTGTAACCTTTTTTTTTATTCCGCTAAAGCCATGCTGATTTGCAATTAAATTACAAAATAAAGTTTTGACGGAGAATAATAAAAAGAAGAATAGGGTGAACTGTCAATTAAATTTTTGAATTATTATTTGAGTAAAAATTAGGTTTTTAAACTATGTTTTAGAAAATCAATCATTGAATTACAAAAATTTGTCAATTACATATCTAATATTAGATTCGAAGCTATTATATTTAATTTTTTATTAATTTAAGTCACGTTACTTGTATTAGATACACATTGAAAGGTAGATTGATAATTTTAATAAATAAATAGTGTATGAAGTTAACTTTGAAAGGTAAATAAAATGTTAGATTCACAACTTATATAAAATGTCAAGGGCGAGAAAAGAACGGTATTACACTCTAAAATGTGTCAAGTGACTTAAGTTGACGAAAAATTGAATAAAATAGTTTTGAATATTATAATAGGGATGAAATTAACATTTTTTAAATAAATTTAGAGATTTATTTTACAGTAAAAGTAATTTAAAGATTTAATTTTTATTAAGATGATAATTCAGGTATTAAATGGACACTTCATTAATAATAATAATAAATTGGAGGGCAAGGCTTCAACTTGGTTTCTGCTTCTGCAAAGTTCAATATAAAAGTACTTTGATTTCTTTTAATCGAAGCAAAAACGAATTTTTATTCAAACACTCACTCACCAACACACTAACCAACTCAGAAATCATGTAACATATGTGGTCCCCACCTATGATTCTCATTCTGGATCTGAGAGAGCATATCCTGATATGTTTTTCTATTATTTTTATATTTATTTCGTTTTCATTAATACACCAACCCTGTCCCTGGTTTGAGCTCAAGACCCCTGATTTGGGAAAAGCATCCCCTGATTTGGGATTCTAAGAATTTCGTGATCGTGATCGTTCATTGTACATTATACGATCAGAAATTATTTTAAAATTTTAAATTTTAAATTAAATATAAATAGTACTTAACAAAAACTGAAGTACGATATACGATGAACGATCACAATAACTGAATCCTTATGATTCCAAGGAAAAGGATCTTGCGAGGATCCTTTTCCCCTGGCTCAGGCCCTTGATTTGAGCTCAATGTCACCAAGACAAAAGTAGACCTCACATTTGTGTTGTATGTTTCGTGTTCATGTTGTTTTTATGTCATACGGATCGTGTCGTGTAACATCAATTAAAATAAATTAGTAAAATAACCTTATCCCAAATGGACCTGTTAATATTAAAGGGTTATATGACCTGACCCCTTATTCGTTAAAGAAATATATTTTAAACCAATAAATAATAAAATAAAAAAACTAATGAAAAAAACTTCAAAGTTTTAAATTTTAACAAAAAAATCATCCTATAATTTTATTTAATAAAAAAATAAGAGAAAAAAAATTAAAAAAAACCTAATTAAAGGCGCGTGCAATAGCACAGCGTTTTTTTCCCAGCTTTTGTTTGGTTTGGTGTGCTGGTGCTTTTTTCCGGTGTATGTATTTTCTTCTAGGGAGTTTCTTCTCCAATATAAAATATATACCGCAACTTTAAAAAAAAAATTATGTGGAGTGATTGATGGCAGGAGAATGGGCTTTTTTTGGAAGAAAAAATTTGCATTCTTAGAGAGAACGAATGGAATTAATTAAATGTTCAAATGATTTGCAAAATGAAGAGAGTTACGTTTCAATAACATATGTTTAATATAGAATAATTCAAATAAATAAATAAATAAAACTTAATTTTTTTTAACTTATATAGAATGATAGTACAATAATACATATTTATTTATTTTTTGAACAAACAATATTATCTACACTAAGGAGGATGAGGTAGGTATAGTCTCACAATAGGCTAGTAATAATGTGGTTCAAATTCGTTTTTGGCAAGAATCGAACATAAAACCTCTTACTTACAAGTGAAGAGGAATACTATTAAACCGTAATACTAAGTGGCAAAATAATACATATTTAATATAAATATATACAGCCACTCAGTACTACGGTTAAATAGTATTCATCTTCACTTGTAAGTGAGATGTCTTAGATTTGAATCTCGTGGATGGCGAATTCGATACCAGTCCATTATGTGACTTAGCCGAACTATCCCCTCCCCTTAGTGTAAAATATATCATTGTACTAAAAAAAATATACAATACATACATTATCACTATTGTATTTTATAATAAGTTTTTTTTAGTAATTAAACTTTAAAATTATCAAAATAATTTTTTCTTAACGGGTCGAAACAGGTTACTCATGTATTCCCTATGTGTATGCCCATTAAAAGCCAATTATTAACATATTCTTAACGTTGCACCTGATAATGACCTGATTAGTTATTGTGTTGACTCGAAATTCGTTATTTTCGTATCGTTTTCGTATTGTGTTACAGTGTCGTATAAAAAATTGCCAGGTTTAGACAAAGGAAGGGATGCAACTTATATTTGCTTAGCATTTACCATTAAACTTTTTATTTTATTTTATTTTTTATACATCGGAAACTAAAATATCTTATAAAGATGAAGCAGTTTACTACTATTGATGTACAAGTTAAACACAATACGAAATTGGGTAGACAAAAGACTCTTCTTCACTATTTGGTTTGCGCAAAAGTCGAAAGGAGAGCAACATCCTAGTTGTTTTTTAAGGTTATCTTTAATTAACTTTCTCGTCCCACAAATTTCTAACACCACAAATTTACTAAACAACCTAGTACTAAAATGCTTTTCAGAAAGGCAGAAGCTGTCTCAAATAATCAAATCCCAAACGGGCACTTAAAAGCTTGTTCTTGTTAAAGTACTTTAATTAAACTAAAATGTTAAATCATAAAGATCATAGGAGTGGCCAAAAGTGTAAACACGAAAATTTTATAACAAATGAAACGAGAACGCGTGTACAAAGTAAATTTGTATTGATTTGAATTTGTAGGTTACAATCTCTGTTTACAATTTTCCTCTGATTCAATCTTCAAATTTGGCGTAGATGTGTGGATTGTTGATCCAAGGATCGTAATGACTTGATCTCGGAAGAATGATTGAATGATTGCTTCAAGTTTTGAGCTTCAAACGATGCTTGGATGATCTTCACCTCAAAAGATGCGGCAAAGGGTGAAGTTGATGCAGGATTTTGTTAATTCAAGGGATTGGCGACTTGATCTTGAAACGAACGTCGTTACAAGTTTTGAGCTTGCAACAAAGTCTTGAAGGAGTCGGCACAAGTGCTTGTTGATTCTTCAAGGGGAGTGATTCAGCTTTGGTTGTACATTCTTCGAAGAGAGCTTTAGTAGTGTATTAGTCTTCAAAGATTTATGTAGAGGTTCTACTCAATGTGCAATTTTCGACCCCTTTGTGTCTCTTGGATCTTTGTATTTATAGACTTCCAAAGTCATGCCTTTGGACGGATTTGGCTTTGATTTGTGTCTTGATTCGTCCATATGAGAATTTAGGCATAGTTTGTGTCTTAATTTCAGCCATCTTCCTCATATTGGCGGAAATTTATAGGCCTTGTTGCCTATTTGTGAGCAATCTTCAATTCTTGCTTATTTTGTTAAGATGCTTTGGCTTTCTTTCTGGTTTTGAG